TCCCTCCCTCAATAGCTTCCTGATATGCATTGCCAAGTGTAGGAGCTGGCCAAGGCAGATTCAGACTAACTCCTTCAAAGACATAACTTTCGCCCATGTTTTCAACAATTGGTATATGTAATCCCCTAATCGCTGTGAACCACCTGCAATATTATCTGATACTTGGCACCTATGCTGGTGCGCCCCTTTCCTCCCCCAAATTTGTGGCAGTATGAGGAGCAGTTGACTGCTGTAGTTTCTCGCACCTCCTGATAGTGGACAGGCCTCTGGTGGTAGCCCTTTGCTGCCTATCCCATGCTACAGGCAGTGTTTTCCAGTTAGTTGAGTTAGGGAGAAACAAGGCCTCAGTGAGCATGAGACCTTAGGTGGTTGCCTAAATTGCCTAATTAGAGAACAGCGTATGAGGTAGAGAGCGGACACTGTGAGCTGGGATTTGAGAGGAGCGGGCAGACAGAGTCAGGGGAGCTTCTTCTTTGTTATTGTAGATGTGTGGGGTTAAGATGTAGTGCGGGGCATAGTTCAGATGCGGGGGCAGAGTTGAGTTACTATGGGTGGGTGACGGCAGACTTAGGACCCTATTATACAACCAGTGCTAACAGCAGAGAGAAATGATTGAAGGAGGGAGGGAGCAGAAAGGGGTAGGAACTGACAGCCTGTGTTATAGCGAAGCCGGAGCTCCGGAATTTGCAAGTGCTGGGGGAGACACGATGTCATGCGTCACTGAATCTGACAGAACTTCGGTGAGCAAGATCTTTGATTTCCCCACTAGCCATGCCGCCCCTCTCCTGCTTGCCATCCTGAGGCCATGGCCTTAGTGGCTTTGTGTCAAAAACTGTCCTGGATCTGATCTAAGTTTTATGTTTCACAAGGCCTTCTACACATCTTTAATTATATTTATATTTTAATTATATTTTCCAATACTGATATTTTAATACAGTTCATTTCTTAACCCCTTAAGGACACATGACGGAAATATTCCGTCATGATTCCCTTTTATTCCAGAAGTTGTGTCCTTAAGGGGTTAATGAGGATACAGACCATTATATTCAAATATGTTGAAGTTTATAAGTGGCATTAAACTGCTAATTTCAATTAGTTAATATAAATATTTAAATAATCCATGTTGCACAAATAAAATTTTACTCAATTCTAAATATATATACAACCACTTTGTACAAAAATCTTCCTGGTGAAACTGAGAGACCATTTGCCGAAAAATGAAAAAGAAAGATATCACAATCCACAATGCAAAATGGACAAGGCTCAGGTAAAATGAAAAGCTGAACTTATAATACAGCCTCTGCAGCTAACCCTTAGTTTGAGTGTATAGTACTTTGTAGCCATCATTCGACCAGAGTTTTACAATTTTCAAAATTGTAGTCTATTTTACTGATATATTTTATTACTGCCGCGGTCACACAGGGGCGCTGCAAGATATTTTTCTGGTGCTATCATCAAATGTCGGCTCTGCAGGAATGGAGGGGATAAAAGAGATCAGAGTTCACTCTCACCACTAGGACCGCCAGGGCTTCCCCACCGGACCACCAGGAATTGTCTTCCGCTGTCCCCTCTCCCAGGCAAAGGTAAGCAGGGAGGGGGGATATGACAAATATAAATGTTTAATTTAGAAAAAAAAAAAATATATATATATTTATTTATTTACTTGCCCTCCTACATCCACAGAGACACAATAACTCCCCCCCATACACACACACTGCTCCCCGATACACACACTGCTCCCCCCATACAGACACAATTGCCACCCATACACACACAATTGCCCCCATGCACACATACTACCCCCATACATACACACACTGCCCGCCTATACACACACATTGCACACACATTACCCCCTATACAGAAACACTGTACCCCTCACACATACTGCCCCCACACACACTCTGCACCTCTCACGCGCACACACTACATCCTTCACAAAAACAATGCACCCCCATACACTCACTGGACCCCTCACACGCACACACTGTTACCCTCACACATACACACACACATATTGCACCCCTAACACACAACAGCCTCTATCCCGGCAGATCCCAGGTAAGTTGTTAAAATGTACTTAAACAGTTTGACTACTTACTCTGGGAGGGCACTACGGCACTATAAAGTATAAAGTATTATAGTGGTTATTGTGCCTGGATTGTTTTTTAAATAATCTACCAGTGCCCCTTCCAAGATTAGGTTCTAGGCCTGTGCTTAAAAGGCAAGCATTTCTGCCGAACAGGGGCCCAGTATATGCCGCTGCACTGTACATATATACAACCTAGAAACATGTTTTGACTTGGGGCGCCTTGGAAAAATATTAAAATATTAAGGGTGCCTTGAACCTAAAAAGTTTGGGAACCACTGATTTAGAGACTTCAGAAACATGAACAGCAGAGCCACTTGCCAAGCATAATTAGAAAAACTTGCTAAGTCTATAACTATGCCCTTTGTTTTGTTCTATTTGGGGCTTTTCTTTAAATCATGTTTTATTGAGATTTTGTCATAGATATAGTAAGAACAGAGAGACATGCAGGCCTCTGAATACATAGAGACGTTACATAAATAGGCGTAGTATACATATGTTGCGATGGTAGATGAGTGGTTATAGAGCTTACACTGGGTCTGACTTAGATATCAAAAGCTGTTAGATGTGCTGGAACACCTCCAACAACTATAGCAAATTGATCTTGAGTGCCATCTGTTGCCCTGCATTTCAATGCTTCCTGAAATTCTAGCCATGCCCAGTTTCGTTCCCAGGTGATAAGTTAGGGGAAAAGGCATATGACATGTAGCTACTATTCCCTATAGGGTGATGAAATGTGCTAGAAGGTCTGCGTGCTATGATAAAGCCTTTCCCAGCTGATATGTCTGCATAATTGGGTAGTTCAGTACTACTAGAGCAGTGTCTCCCATAGTATGTTCGTATGTGTCCCAGGGCTGTGTATGTCTGTGGGAATGTGTGTTTGCGAGCATCTCTATCTCCATCGAAGGAGAGGAGGAACAGGTCTTGCGGTGATGCCACAACTCTACTGAGAGAGGGAAGGGACGGGAAGGGATGAGACGAGATGGGAAGGGAAAGGTGAAAGAAGTATGTAGAATGCAGCAGTAGAGTTGAGAGAGATTAGGGGATGTGTAGGAGCCTGTACAGAGTAGCTATGTAAAGAGAAGATAGTGAGCAGGGGTGAGACCACCTGTATTCTACTTGTAGTCGCAGTGTCTCCTTCTCCCCTGTTATCTGCCATGTATTTAAACCATGGCAGCCAGCGTTCGGCATGTTTAGGGCAGTAGGGCTTCCACAGCCTGTATGTCTTCAACACGTCTTAACCGGGTTTTTTTCAAAGGGGTTATTACCTATTTCCACATGGCAGGAATTAGGGTATCAGTCTTAGCAGTGTTCAACAGATGTACGGTCAGGGATTTCTTTTTGGCTGTGATCGGCTGTCTCGTGTCGAGTCTCGGGTCCTGTATTTCACGTCTCATGGATTTTAGAGCTTATGGAATATTTGTGGGTCAATGTGAAAATCTTGTCCCATTCTTGCTCAGTGAGTGTTATAACTATGCACTTTGCTAAACACAATTTTCAGGAGATGGCAAAATAAATAAAAAAACATTTCTTTAAAAAGGTATGTTATTATAATGAATTTTTAAAAACTGAAGAAAGTAGAGTGGGTTGGTTTGTGTTTGGGGCTTAGTTTTGCTTGGTTTAAACTAATTGGGGGAGGAGTGCTTATGAAAGTGTGGAGTTCTGCAAAATGAAGCAAACAAAGACTTGGACCACATTTCAGAACTCCTTACTTTCAATAAATGGAGACCATACAGTAGCATGACGGGGATGCCTAGTGTTTATGCATGATACAGACCTTCTACTCATCTGGCACAGAGAGTTGTATTATTAAACTACATGTTACTTGGAAGTGGAGATTGCCAAAAGAGAATCACGGAGAATGATGTACATTGTAAACCAGCTAGTCCCGGATTTATAAGATTTGCTGGAAAGAAATACATAAAGTGCTGCTTTTTAGAGCCAATACGGCCTAGCTAAACTTTGAGGATCAAAGTAAAGAAACATTTTGTATTCTTACAGAACTTACAGTGAAGCTATGCAGTAAAAGTGCATTTTCTTGGGTGGGGGTTGTATTGTTTTTTGCATTCCTTCATTTGTATTCTTATCTAGGAACAAAAAGATAATGGTGTACTAGGTATGTCTTCTCTCCAATAGCATTCTAGTGATGTAGACATGTATAATGCATCTTGTAAAGTTCCAGGCACTGGAATGTAGATTTCGACAGCTTTTTTAAATCAATTCATCCTCCTAGTCTGTCCAATAGAAATCACAATAGTGCGCTATTACCATTTCTGGTGGGACTGTGCTTTGGCCCAACCATTTTTGAAAGCAAATCTTTCAGACTTTTCAAAGATCTCAACCAGATGTTAAATAATTGAGTTGGAAGAGAAGCCTAGTGGCCGTTACAATTGCACATATCTGGGGATTGTTATCTCTCCTTTCTATGTCCACAAACTTCTCTCTAATGAGAGATTCTATAGATATTTATCATCTCACTGCTTTTGTATGTGACATCAGCAAACATTTCCATAGTTTTAACCCTAGTGAAAGGACTCCTCTACCCCTGGCTGTATTATGCACTGGAATCTACCCTATACCTCCCTGACCCTCCTTACCCATCACAAACCTACCCTTACACATGCTAAATATGCTCCATTCTTACACTCCTTTACATACGTAAAGCAAATACTCTATAGTGTCCATTTAAGGTATAACACTTGATACAAGCTAACCATTTCTTATGTGACGGTGCCTTAGACTACTGGTTCCCAACTTTTTTTTACTTGTATACCCCTTGGCAGACCATTTACATAAATTGTATCCCTCATATTAGTGAAATGTTTGTAATTAATATAGTTGCTGTTATTTCAGATTTATTCATGTTTTTAGTCTCTCTCTCTCTCTCTCTCTCTCTCTCTCTCTCTCTCTCTCTCTCTCTCTCTCTCTCTCTCTCTCTCTCTCTCTCTCTCTCTCTCTCTCTCGAAAGGGAGAGAGAGAGAGAGCAAGAGAGAGAGAGCGAGCGAGAGAGAGCATACACAGTGCAGATACACAGACACACACTGACACACATGCAGACACACATACACACAGATATACACACACTGACACACATGCACATACAGACACACAGATAGAAACACTGACATACATACAGATACAGACACACACAAAATCACACAAAGGCACACAAATACAAACACTGACACACATACAGTTGCACAGTCATACTGATACATACACTGACACACATGCAGATACCCAGATAGAAACACTACACACAGTGACACACACTGACACACATACAGATATACAGGTACAAACACTGCCATATATGAAGATACACAGACACACAGATACACACACAGATGCAAACAATGACACACACACAGATACACAGACACAAACACTACATATATACACAGGCAGACAACCAAAAACACACATACAGGTCAAAATTGTAGCCACCCTCCAGTTTCCTACCTTTTGGTGGCTACTGCTGGCTGGGGCTGTTTGTAGTTTTGGGCTCCTCCCCTAGTGAGCCCTCCAGTCGGCTCTCATCCCCGTGTGTCTCCGTCTTAGTTACCTGGGAGAGAGTAAAAGTCCATCACTTCCTCCCAGCACTCCCTGTGATTAAGAAGGGCCCTGGCCTCACATTTATCGCATCACAGCGCACAACCAGGCACATGTCTATTGGGTGGACCCAAACTGTGCAGTGTGGCTGCAGTGGTGGTAGAGCTGCCATTACTGATTTGGAATCTCGTGGGGGTATCTGTACCACAGTGCAGTGGTGGTAGAGCTGCCATTACCGATTTTTCACATTCCCCTGTGGGTACTGGATTGTACTCGTCAGGGTATATGTACCACAGATTGGGAAGCGCTGCCTTAGACTATTCATTTGTTCGATATTTATTGTTAAAAATTCATTATATAGATCCACCCAGTTGGTTAATATCAAATACCTTTCACGCCTTACGACATCAGTATTTGTTTTGTACAGTACTTGTTTTGCAATTCATTCTGTAAAACAACCAAATGTTAAACTCCAAACAACACACCCCCAGATGTTGCATCAGAGCAAACACAGGAAAAGAACCTGAAGATAACCGATTAACTACATGGACCACGCTCATGTAGTCCAGGTGAAAGAAAACCTTCTGACCGCAAAAGGTCCACAACTGCTACACTCGTCAACAGCTCTAAAAAGGTGAGATTGTGAATCAAATCTGAATGTTACCACACCCCTGGTGAGCAAAAAAAAGGCTTCAAAACCGACCGAGCCCGAGGCGCCTGTAAACAGTTCAAAGGCAGCATAGGACACTGTCTCACTGTGCCAGAAAGTACACCCATTATACCCTGTGAGAAATTGACTCCATATACCCACAGCATCCCGCAAATGCTGAGTTAAATGAATAAAGTGTAAAAGTAGGCAAAAAATAGGCGAATGCCAATCATAGCTAATGAAAGCCAGTGACTGATGGCCCAACCCCAGTGGCCCAAAAAAATAGCTCAAAAAAGATTGCAGCTGTCGCAGCTGCACCTTTCAAGCTTGCAGAACCTGATCCACCATTGAGGACATAACCTGCAACTTGTCCTCTGGCAAGTGAAATACTTACTTTACGGAGTCAATATCAATCTCAAAAGAAATCACCATACTTGGGCCCTCTGTTGTATCCTCGGCAACTGGGACACCTAAATCAGACATGGCACCCTGAAAGTGAGATAACAAAGGGGAATCCACCGGATCCACGAACAAATAAATCATCAGGAAGGAGAAAGTACACACTACACGTGAAGCCATCCACTCCAAAAAAAGAACTAAACTATTTGAAGTAGTAACAAAAAATCAAACAGTCCATAGGAAAGCAAATGTAAAAAAAGAAATCCTCTTGAAACTGACAATCTCACAAAAGAAAGCAATTTGACTGAACTGGTAACAAGTGATTGTAAGTTCTATGTCTGACTTCGCCGGCAGGGCCCCTGGCTCTGCTATTCGAACCCACTCTAAAACTCAGTCAAAGAATGCATACCAAATTTGTCAATTTTCCTTTGAAATGCCGTCATTCATTGAAGACCCAGATGGGAAGGATAAATGCTAAATGAGACAGAATGGGACCAGCTTCTTCTTTGGAAACCAAGGCCAGTAAGGACAGCCGCAAGTTGTTGACTGGAAGGCTGGAAAACGGACCCACCATCCACCCCAACTTGACCTCCCTTTTCAGCTTAGCTGCCAGAATTACCTCCTTACCCTGTACTGATAACAGCAGTAGACGTTCGGCTCTGGCCAGAGTCCTCTCTCTTAGGAATGTCATCCTTGGACGCAGCTTTAGGGAGGAGCAATCCACAGTGGAGCACTCATGGTTAAACCATTAACTGCTGTACCATCTACAGTGGTACTCATAAAAGAGCCAGCAGATGCCCTTCTTGTGTCCCGCCAACCATTCTGCAGGAGCGCCGGCAGCCGAAGGAACTGGGTGACGGGCGACACAATGTCATAAACATCAACCAAAGGTTGCCATTGTGATATCCACCTGAGGCTGAACCGGAATTTTTTGGAAGAACTGCTAGTCATATTTGAACTAGCACTGGCCCCCATATACTTTGTAAGCACCCCAAATTAAATCCAAATAAGTAAACAGGGACAGCGCCCACTTCAGGAAATATAGACAAAATGCTAGCAATAGTTGCAATGCCTTGCAACCAGTTCCCAAACATCCAGGGAAAATGCTTACATTCTTCCCCTTTCCCGACTTTCCCCTGATGTAGTCTATCCATGGACTCCTTATCCAAGGGGACTAGAGAAAGGAGGCCCACATACTCACCCTTTACAATATTTGCCCTCACCTCCAGTGGCATGTGGAGGTACAACGGAGTGATGTGACACACCGGCCCCAGAGAAGGGGTACTCACCACAGGTCCCACTTCATTACCATCAATAGGTGGCCCCCACCAATGGGACAGGAAGAGGATACCTAGCCTAGCAACATCCCTGTACCAGATGCAGGTGCGAAGCGCTCTAGCCCTACCCTCAGCAACTGCACTACCTCTCCCTGAGACCAAGACGCAGGCATACTCATGTGCCTGGAGTAGATGACCGGCTCTCCTTCCTCATGGCATGCTCCTCTTCAGATTCCATTCCAGAGCTTCTGGGTGATGCAGGGGCCTGTGACATCTGCACTGCGCTACATGCGGAGGACACACAAATGCTCCTGGGGGAGCCTCCCGTGCATCCGCAGGCACTGACATCAGTTCCTGTTCAGCCTGAAGAAAAGGGTGAGCCCTGTGCAACCTCACCGCTATGCCGGGGCCATCTTGAGTACTCGGGTCACCATCTTGCAGAGCCAGTTAAGAACACTGGCGTCTGGAACATCTTCCCAGCAATGTTAATTTAGGTGGCAAATTTCTATTTAGTTTTAGTCATAGTCTTTTGAATAAAAAGTCAGTTTAATTTTAGTCGTATTTTGGTCATCTGAATTGTTTTAGTTTTAGTCTAGTTTTAGTTGACTAAATCTCCAGTATATTTTAGTCGACTAATTCTCCAGTAGATTTTAGTCAGCACGACTAAAATCTAATGGGTTTAGTTAAAGCCTCTATCTGTGTTAGTCGACTAAATCTCAAAAATCTCTAAATCTGCTTCCGGGCCTCCTTCTCACAGCGACCACTGGCGTTGCCAATCCCAAAATAGTCTTGCTCATTTCCGGACTGTTCAGAGAAGATAGCGCTGCCCTGGATTGCCAAACCAGACTGGGGGACAGCCTGGACAAAGACCTGGTAGGTCATGCCTGCCTGCCACAACGAGAAGCCCCTGCTTGTTGCACTGATCCCTCCTGCTCCTACTGCTCCTCTGCACATCCCTCGGTCATGCTCTCCAGAGGTCTGGTAGGTTCTCCCAACATTCCCTAGTCCTAGGTGCCTTAGCACCAACATTATAATCATTTTGGTTTCCATACCAATCACTTCTGGCAGCAATCATGCTCTCCCCTCCATATTCACTTCACTCGAGGGGGTTGATCTCATTTTCTAAGGGTAGGGATGTGTTTTTCTCTTTTTTTTTTTTTTTTAACATATACTTCATTTAACAAAGAATATTAAAAACTTGATCAAATTATCATCATGTTAAAAAAATAGTGTTACGGTGACAGTTGTCCTTTAAGGAATGCAACTTACCAAAATTTACTTCACAGAGTGCAACAACATAAGGAGATTTGATATCCTGTCAGTTACAGCATTTAAAGATAGTTGCTAAGAGTACAAAAGCCACTTACTGCTAAACACCGATGCTCACAGGCTGCCAAATCTAACATTGTATAGAACGTTAAGCACTACAAGGTTAATATATTATATTTGTGCTGTTAGAAGTATCTACTTGACTGTATGTGGGAAAAAAAAGTTTGCCATTATTCAAACTAATTCTCTTCAAGATAAATGGACACCATTAGAAGTAAATCAGAACTTAAATATTTTTAATAAGGTCTGTACCAAGCAAATCATTTGTTTAAAACTGACAGACTATACTGTTGAGTAGCAGGAGCTAAAGGGTTCTATTAAGACAAAAAAAAAAAAGAAAGAAAGAAAATGCTCACCTCAAATCCCACAACCCCTCCCTTTAGCCAAATATTTCTCCACTGAAGTGGGGATGGATGACCCAAAGTCCATGATCAGGGGAGATTTTCCTTGCGTGGAGGGGGTATGCCACCATAAGTCATCTGTTTCATAGTGATTGGAGTAATCCTATCATGTATGGTCTGTCTTTGTCATCTTTGTCTGGTTATTCCCTTTGTTATTAGCATTCCTTTTTATTATAGATTATTCTCTCTACATATTACATGATAATTTATGTTTTTATAGTACGTGGCATTAGCAAGCAGTATGCTGGCACAATAAAGTGGAAAAGGGAGTGTGCAATTAACACAACGTCCATTATAGTGGCTCTTATGGTCATGAATAGCGTAGATCATGGATAGGCAACCTTATCTGAATTATGGTGCACATGTGCAACACAATGATCTACCCCAGGGGTTGACAACCTTCAGCACTCCAGATGT